GTTTCCACTTTCGGTATCTATTTTGGGATTGCTTTTGGGATATGAAACAACGATATTTCAGTAGAATCTACCGCCCACCTGCCTTTTTTTGGGATGTTGGAAGACTACTTTACGCAAAGATTGCGAGTTTCAGGGTCTATGTTAGCTGCGGGGTAGAGATATAGGAATATGTGTCTATTTTATTCTGAGTCTATCTATGGGCATACATTACATGTGCAGGAATCTAGGACACAATCTGTATACGTGCATATATGGTCCCGTGTCCCGTGTTCCCCCCTTTAATGGGATGGGGGGGGGGTATGATGCCCCTGTGGTGGTGTATATACATACATACATACCTACATACCTACCTACCTACCTACCTACCTACATACGTACATACATACATACATACATACCATTACATGACCTTACCTTACATGACCTTACCTTACATTCCATACATACATACATACATACATACATACATACATACATACCATTACATTACATTACCTTACCTTACATTACCTTACCTTACATTACCTTACATTTACATACATACATACATACATACATACATACATACATACATACATACATACATACATACATACATACATACATACATACATACATACATACATACATACATACATACATACATACATACATACATACATACATACATACATACATACATACATACATACATACATACATACATACATACATACATACATACATACATACATACATACATACATGCATACATACATACATACATACATACATGCATTGCATTGCATTGCCATACATTAATACATTACATACATACCAACAAATACAAACATACCAACATACCACCACCACAGGCCACAGGGGGGGGGGACCAGAAGAACCATACCACCACCACAGGCCACAGGGGGGGGGGACCAGAAGAACCATACCACCACCACAGGCCACAGGGGGGGGGACCAGAAGAACCAGACGATACTGTCCACCCATACCCATTGGTGGGGGGGGGAGGGGGGTGGCCAACGCTGCACCATATATACATATATGATACTTAAACATAACTACAATGATTTATGAGAGTATATCTCTGTAGATATTCCACACAGTAAGCTGAAAAAAAAGAAAAAAGAGATTGGGTCATCACCATTTTAGGTTTGGATTCGACCTCCCACGGCCGAAACAATGTTGTCATTGCGGAGAATGCCAGACTTTGGGTGGATTTTTTCCGCCCCAGGTGGGGCCCCCGGAACCGGAATCGCAAAGTTGGCGTGTTTTTTTTTTAAACCCCAATGAAAACTAGTTCGTGAAATATCTGCTATAGATACATCTATATGCCATAATATACCGTACTTATTGGAGTTATACCATGAATACTATAGTTGTACCATAATACACCATAGTTATTGGAGTTATAAACGCATCAACTTAACTATCGAACGGGGGCCCCACATTGTACCCTCCGCAAACAGGGCTAGCTGGGACATCTCCTATCAATTTTGCAGTAGAATGGGACATCATCTAAGAATGTGGAATTTCCTGCCATGGAACTGATTCCCAGAGGGTAGTCAGTTGGGACCATTATTCCCAATATATGGGAATTCATAAAATTCATGTTCCAAACCACAAACCAGTTTTGAATCACTAGCGCAACCCTTTGGTAATCGAAGGCAAATTTGACATCATCAGTTGGGATGGGAATAGCATCAACTTTCTTCCCGGATTTTTCAGCCGATTTTTTTGCTTTACAGAGAGTAATCATTGCTATGCATAGCGGCAATAGATCTGGGTAAAGTATCATATTTCACCAACCTGAATTGTTGGGCCATTTTGGGATTATTTCCCTTATTAACCATGATTCCAGGGCTCGGGAGAACAGGGTTCGGTCGTGATGAAATTTACCCAGATTTATGGAGTGCTTGGGGATGCCACAGTCAATGGGATTCATGGGGGTCACTCCATTGGCATGGATCATACAGGAATTAACTACTTATTACTATCATTGTAAAATTGTTATCATTATTAACATTATTACAAATTTAGACCATATTTATAAATATAGATAATAGTTATCGCTATAGACAAAGTATCAAAGTAGATAATAATTATCATCATCATTATCTATGGAATGACATAATGATATAATGATATAATGATACAATGATATAATGGTAATTCTTGGGATAATCATCATCATTATCATCTATGATCATAATCCTTATTGGGATTATCCTTACTACCATCAATTATGATCATGCTTATCATCATTATTGGGATCATAATCATCATTACCATCTATTCCATCAAAGTATCATCATTGGCATGGAATCAAATGAATCACATCAGTGGCAGAAACTGGTGGCTTGGCGTGTTTTCAGCAGCTGAGGGGCATGTGAACGTCACCCGCGTAGTCCCAATTGATATCAATGCACGGGGCCTAGCCGCGTGGCAGTGAACAGTTCATGGTGATTTCACCAAGAAAAAATGGCGGTTGAAGCATCAAAAATGGTGGCTTTAATGGGGGTTGAACTGGGGTGGTTGAAAAATCGTGCACTTTTAAAATGGATTGAACTGGGGATATAGTGGTGATATAACTGGATGTGAGATATGGAATCTTGATGGGGAGACATAGGGATATGAACATAAGTGACTGGTGAAAAAACCTCCGGGACTCAAACAATGGCTTTTCCACCATAAGTTGGCGAATCTATCTATAGGAAAAAACTCCAAAAAAATCCTAAGCTATTACCATCCACTTTTTCCAACTAGGAGTACGAAATGGTGCCACCCTAGTTGTAAGTTGGTTTATAATCCCCAACTAGTTCGATATATCACCTATAAACAAGAGTGAAATTGGAGTTATAAACCAACTTAGCTACCTGGGGCACCACCTTGTAGGCAGAACACCTCTATTTCAGAAAACCACAAGCTCCTCACTAGGTGCCCCAGACAGTCCAGGTACTTCCATGCACTACCTGTGGCCGCGCCGGAAGCCACCGAAACATTCATGAAAATCATAAGGGATCGTCGTTCCATTGGCAACTTGCCACCATGGCTGGGGATGATTTCCCTTATAAACATTCATAAACCATGATTCCAGGGCTCCGGAGAACAGTGAGGTCATTATGATTTATCCAGATAGAATGGTATTACTGGTACAATAATCAATCATCCTTAATAGCGTTGGGATATAATTGATATAATTAACCAAATATCTGGATAGAATTTATCATAATTGCCAACCTGAAATACGGCCCCCAATGGGGGTGATTCCCTCTACTAACCATTTGAAGCCAGTAATGAGTTGCGTTTCCCTTAGGCCCAAGAAAAATCCAAGCCTTTCTCCAGTCCATGGCTATGTTCCAACAGAACAGGGAAAGCCTGTTAGAGACTTCAAATGCCAGCGAATTTCTTCTGAAATCTGTTTGTCACAGCGATTTCCAACATCCAAATTCATTCGCCAAAGGATTTGGGCAAGGCCAAAAGAAGCCCAAATTTGGATGATGGAAATGACACCTGAGCGCTATCATCCTCCCAATCACTCGACATCGATGGAAGCCGTGGCATTTGATGGTGAGGTCATAGATTAAGCCCGAAACAAAGTTTAGCTGGGCCAATTCTTTCCAACATGGCAACAACCTAGCACCAGAAAAACCCGTGGCATACATCATGGACTCCGCAAATGTTTATGGCTTAAACCATGTTAAACCTCAGAACCTCCCACTTTTCGGTCAAATGGGTCGCCTCTGCAGCTGGAGAGCGACTGGCTGTGATGCCTCCAACATTCACCTGCAACTCCACCGTGCCAAGCGATACAAAAAAGCACAGCTACATAAATATCTTTATTCACAGAAAGCAACAATGATTACAATGTACTAAAATCCATTCACAGAACGCAACAATGATTACAATGTACTAAAATCTATTCACAGAAAGCAACAATGATTACAATGTACTAAAATCTATTCACAGACAGCAGCAATGATTACAATGTACTAAGATCTATTCACAGAAAGCAACAATGATTGAATGTACTAAAATCTATTCACAGAAAGCAACAATGATTACAATGTACTAAAATCTATTCACAGAAAGCAACAATGATTACAATGTACTAAAATCTATTCACAGAAAGCAACAATGATTACAATGTACTAAAACCTCTTCACAGAAAGCAACAATGATTACAATGTACTAAAATCTATTCACAGAAAGCAACAATGATTACAATGTACTAAATCTATTCACAGAAAGCAACAATGATTACAATGTACTAAAATCTATTCACAGAAAGCAACAATGATTACAATGTACTAAAATTTATTCACAGAAAGCAACAATGATTACAATGTACTAAGATCTATTCACAGAAAGCAACAATGATTACAATGAAAGCAACAATGATTACAATGTACTAAAATCTATTCACAGAAAGCAACAATGATTGCAATGTACTAACATCTATTCACATAAAGCAACAATGATTACAATGTACTAAAATCTATTCACAGAAAGCAACAATGATTACAATGTACTAAGATTTATTCACAGAAAGCAACAGTGATTGAATGTACTAAAATCTATTCACAGAAAGCAACAATGATTACAATGTACTAAAATCTATTCACAGAAAGCAACAATGATTACAATGTACTAAAATCTATTCACAGAAAGCAACAATGATTACAATGTACTAAAATCTATTCACAGAAAGCAACAATGATTACAATTGACAATGTACTAAATCTATTCACAGAAAGCAACAATGATTACAATGTACTAAAATCTATTCACAAAAGCAACAATGATTACAATGTACTAAAACCTCTTCACAGAAAGCAACAATGATTACAATGTCCTAAAATCTATTCACAGAAAGCAACAATGATTACAATGTACTAAAATCTATTCACAGAAAGCAACAATGATTACAATGTACTAAAATCTATTCACAGAAAGCAACAATGATTACAATGTACTAAAATCTATTCACAGAAAGCAACAATGATTACAATGTACTAAAATCTCTTCACAGAAAGCAACAATGATTACAATGTACTAGAATCTATTCACAGAAAGCAACAATGATTACAATGTACTAAAGAGTAGCTACCCATCCAGTTTTTTGTCGGCGTCGCCTCTGCAGATGCGCTGCTGAGACAAGGATTCTCCACACCTCTGCGACAATGGGATATCCGGGTTTCCTGAAATGGGGGTACCCCCAAATCATTCAAAATTAGACAATTTGAGTGTTCAAAGCTATGGTGACTTGGGGGTCCATTTTAGGAAACCACCGTATGGAATGGTGATTCAACCAATAAAGTGGGAAATCCACGAACGAAATCGGCAGTTTACTTGGAATATCATCAAACTAGTCCTGGGGAATTTTCTACCACTTTAGACTCAGAAAGGACCAGTCATATGGGATGATTGCTTCTTTTTCTCAAACAAGGTATACGGTATAATACGCCTCAAACATCCCCAAACCAATGCTTTCTTCCATCACCCATTTTAGGACCCATTGAGCACTGACCTAAAAAAATCGGGCACCAGTTTGTTTGGGCACCTTGAGGAGGTTGTTCAGGCTGAAGCCCACCATGACCCCATGTTCCAACGGCTGCCCAATGGAGGTGCAATCCCACATTCTCTAGCTGCCAAGTAAAACCGCGAGGCGTGTTTTTGGAAATCTGGGAAATACACCGGGGAAAAAAACCCTGCGAATCCCAGGGATTTGCACAGCAGGATTCACTGTCCTCCAGTCCTGACACATCGAGACCCTGAATTTCGTGGGATCACCACCCAAGTTTCTTGGGGGTGGAACTCATAGGAAATTATAGCTCACAGATACCGTCTTGGATATGCTTAAGGACGCAAAATCAAACAGCCTTTCCCTTAGTGGATTCCTCAGGCGGAGTGGATTTAAGCAAATCAAGGGCGATATAGTTCCCTTTGATGGTCGGTCTAGAATTCTAGAACCCCTAACCACATCATCATGATTGCTGGTTAAATCTCACATCTTCCCATTATTTCACCAGTTCATGACAAACCCATCACCAGTTGCCATTTCCATGGTCTTTTTCCGCGATTTTTCGTCAACAACCAGCAGAAGGACCCGATGAAACCCAGTTTCGACGCCAGGTCACAGGTCGAGGTATCAACAGTCAAAGCGCCATAAGCACAGGTCACCTGCAAAAAGGTAATAACCTCACTACCCCGGACACGTGTTTCTGGTAGATATACCTGTAGTTAATGGATGTTCATGGTAGATATAGCTATAGCTAATGCTAGATATACCTATAGTAGCTATAGTTAATGGGTTTCTAAACTAGCGTATCCAGAAAAATTAGGAAACCTGTCAGCGGAGATTGAGGTGCTTTCCTTCACCGTCATTGGCTCGATCGAAATCTGACATATTGTTTTACAGCAATCCTTCGGTGTCTGAAAATGGGGTATACCCCTAAAAAGTAGTTTTGATGTTGAACATGGTGATTTGTGGATTTGTAGGCTAGCCCAATACGTGGTAATAACCATGGTGAGCCGTATGTTGTCTTTCCAATAAGAACATCATCTCCAGATCCAATGGATCCAATGATACAGTACAAAACCATGGATCAAACCCCTGCGGTACCCGGGTAATATTCACATGGTTCTTATTGATGTCCATACCTGTGGAAAATCATTGCTTTTGACTCCCATCCCCTCCCAATTTTTGCTTAACACAACCCACATTTTTATAGTGAACTGATCATGTTTGATAGTTAGCACCCAAAAGCTTGAGAGTCTGCATTTTTTCTGATTCCAAGTGCATTTTGGATGGTCAACCTCGCACTTTTGATTAATTTTTACCACCAGCTTTGACGGTCAACCCCCCTCTTTTCATTGGTCTTTCCAACATTTTCAGAAAAGTAAAACGGATGGTAAAAGACCCATGGTTTTTAGGAAAAACTTCACTTTTCCCACTTTTCAATGGTCATTTGCCAAATTCCTTGGTCTCTCACCCATGGTCTGTGGGTTTTCCCCGATGGATCGCTGTCCGAGCTGTCCGCCTGGAAGCTTCCATAGAAGTCGCCATGATCCGCACAGTTGGCCGAATAGCTGCCATCATGCGCAGTGATCGCCTTCACTGACGAAAATTTTGGGGACCACCAGAAGGAGATCAATTTTTTTTTGGGGACTTTCACTGGGAAAAACATGGTGCTTAGTGATATATTAATGATATTGATGATTAGTGACAACAAGAGTGATAATACTATTCCCTACTGTTGTGGGAATAGTGGCTAGTAGTGGTTCATAATTGTTGATCATAGGAAAATAATTGGATGTTCAACGGGAATTGAGATTTTTGAAAATGTCAAATTAAGATACTGCTCAGATAGTAGGAACGTTTTGTCGGAATATCATGGGATATATGGGGGTAGAACAAACATGTAATATGGGGATACGCTTGGAGATCAGAGGGACGGATCATCGATTGTGACCGGATATGATGGAACATCTTATGAGGACACAACGAGGATAGAATGAGATATCTGCTAAGACAATACCTGGTTGGTGGTATACCTACCCCTCTGAAAAATATTAAAGTCAGTTGGGACTATTATTCCCAATATATGGAAATTCATAAAGCCATGTTCCAAACCACCAGCCAGATATGGGTGTGTCTGAAAATGGGGAATTGGACCCATGGAGAAAAGTCAGATTAACCAGTGGATTGAGAGTACCATTTTCTGGACAAACCACTGTCGCTTTCGAAGACTATGTTCAACGTCTGCTAGCTATAATAGACCAGCTCGAATACGTATACATGCACACATAGAAACACACACATATGTATATAAATAATGTCACACACACATAAATAATAATAAAGGAAACTGTGATGAATTGTGTATACCACAGAACATCCAATAGAGCCGATATTTCATGGCGTAGTCACAGTACTTGACAGCCCCCCTTCGCCTGGGAGTTGTGCGTGCTGTCCACGTTGGCCAACGTCACCGTGGCGGCGCTTCCGGCCGCGCAAGGGGACGGACTCGGTGGGAACGGACCGGTGGGAACGGACCGGTGGGAATGGTGAGAAAAAACTTACAAAGAAATGGGATAAATAGTATAAAACCAACAAAAATGGAAGTATGAACCAAGAAGAATAGTGGATTTAAGATGATTTCACCATACACCAATAATTTCTGTATCTGTGCTTTTTATGGACATTAACTAATGATGTGGTGGCCCGGACTCTTAGCTAGTGGAATCATGGAAGTTAATGTCCAATACCTGAGGCGGAGATATTCCATGGTATAACTTAAGGATTATCCGTTGGTCGCAGCTAACCATCGACTGAAAAAACGAAAACGCCGGAGTCCAGCACCATCGTCTCCGTCAACAATGAGTATACCAATGGACATTAATGGACAATACCATTCTAAAAATATGTGGAAAATGATATGGCTGATATGGCTCTCAAAATGTACCGCTGTCACCAGAGTGAGAATGATCTCAGCATATTGAGGCAGGACAATGACGCCATCAAATCGGGCGCATGGACATAATTCAGTGTATCCTGCGACTTTAACTCAGTGGTTTGTAACCCATTAGTATCCCATTGGTCCAACTGGGGATGTTCCATAGCTGGATATTTTATATTAGCCACATACTAACTAGGATGCACCCCGACCGGTAGTTATATTAGTTATGTTGATTCGCCAAAAAAGGGTCATGCCAAAGTAGCGAAAACTGAACGACTTGGAGGGACTTTTCACCCCGGGCCTTTGATGATCAAACAACATATATGGGTGTGTCTGAAAATGGGCTATACCACAAAAACATACCAAAGCAACATATTTTGTGGCCGAGAACATGCTTAAAAAAACCACGGGCTTTTTCTTTGCATATCATAAACCAAAGCAACTTTATAAATCATAAACCGACCTTTCTTCGCATAGTTTGAACCTTTTCAATCGGTAAACCACGGACAGATGGTTTCGCACCCCCAAAAAGATGGCGAAATTATGATGAGAAAAGGCATGGCTGTTAAAGCAATGGGCCACTTTGGAGCAGAAAGAGGTACTTTTTTTTTGGGGAAAATGTGGCTCGATTCCGTTAAAAAAGAGACTTTTATTTTCTATGTAAAAACTCGAATATTTTTGTGTATCCGAAATGGTGTATACCGTACGGGAATGGCAACTAAAAAATGGGAAATGATGAGTAATCAATTATTATCAATTTGCCTATTTAGATTACTATGAGATAGATTACTATATTGATTAGTCATATGATATTTAGAGGTATTTCCATACTCATTTCCATAATATATTCATATCATTAATCATCATACTTAGAGCTGGACAGCTCCCGGCCCTGGACCACCCTGGGCCCCGGCTGGCACTGGGTGGAGTTGACCACCAAGCTGCCCAAGTAACAGGTGGTCACGATCTCCTTGGACCGAGACCCCAATTTCCGATGAATGTCATGGTGATGAAAAGTGGTGATTTGATGACTTACTTGTTTATGAATGGGATTATATATATATATATGTATATATATGTATATATATATGTGTATGTATATATATATATATGTATGTACATATATATATATGTATATATATATGTGTATATATATATTATATATATGTATGGTCCCTTTAGTTCAATGATTTACCAAGTAATAATAATAATTTCCATAGTTATGTAAGAAAATAAAAGGAGGTAATCTACATGCACTTGGACGTGCATTCCACTTAGTAAATGGTATATAACCATAGATAATCCCTATATAACTAGAATATCATATGGCCCTGACCCACAAAATGGAAGTAGGATATCCACATTTTCCCAAAGCCCCATACTTATGTGTGTTGGTTTATAACATCCCTCAACTAGTTCGATATATCTACCATAAACCATAGAATTCAATTGGGGGTTTCGGGGTTTCTTAAGTCATGGGGAATCACCAGTCGCCACCATGGCTTTCAATACTAAACCATGGTCATCCATGACTCGGAGGGTGACTGGGGGTACCCCCCAAGACTTAGGAGACCTGACCGCAGAATACCATCTTTTGGGGACAGTTTAAATCCCACCCACAAAAATGGTGATGACTTGGGGATGGCAAACATGGCATTGGGTTTTTAGCTTACTTAGTCAATGTGAAAATCACTGGGTCCCAAAGAATTGTTCGCACCAATCATATCCCATCTATCCCAAGTATTCTATATATATATATCTATATATACATAAAAGCTGTATTTCATGTTTATATCCCCTATGTTAGCTTACAGGAGGGTAAACTATTGTAATGGTAGTCACTGGTTTTTAAACTATCATTTGGAGATGTGGAACACCCGTTGTTTTCCAGGTCTTTTTTGTGTTTCTATCCTAGGCCCTAGAGGAAACAATGGTGTGAATTGAATTTTAATGTATCAATGGCGGATGTGGGGTTAGCATAACCAAAGGTGACCCCCTCTGCAAGGTGGTGCCACAATAACTGTTGGGTTGATGAATAGGGGTTATATCTATAGCTAGTATTCATGGGGATTAAAAACCAACATTCACATCACGTTTGGGTACCACCTTGTATAACAAATGGTTGAGATTTGCCCTTATCAGTGGTTGTCTCTGGTTATTGGGGGGTCACCCTCCTGAGTCACCTTATGGTTTTCTCGACACTGTATGATACGGTGACATTATATCTGCTTTTCCTCCCCGGGCTGCAAAGTCATGGGTTTCCAACATATCATGGTGAAGAAATCAAGTTTGCATGTATGCACACACACACACATATATATATAGAGTGGTACGCCACCAGGTCCCCCAAAATACGTGATTTTAAGCCTTTTTTTTGACTATTTGTTGTTTTTGTTTTTATCTTTTGATCATATGAAAGATCAAAGTTTCTTGTGAGATGTGTTGTTCTGCTTTCTTAATCCTTGGCTCTAGTCTTGGTTGCTTGCTTTTTGTACCTCTATTGTTTTTTGATAGGTGGTCTTAGTACATGAATGACAAAGTTCTTTGCCCAACAACATCTTGAAACATAGAGATTCATTGTGTCAGTAGGTACTTCATGTATATATTAATGTAAAGGTACGACCTAGGTATACAGCTATTGCAAAGACAGTATATATATATATATACATACATAGCACTTTGTATTTGCATTGGTGGTTTTTGATATTAGATTGCCAGGTCTCCTTTTGGTTGACATCATAGATCCAGTGGAACTCTTTTAGTCAATGAAAGTGCAAATTCCAATCTACTCTCCCTCCTCAAGTAGTTGCATTTTTTTTGGCATACTTCATGGTAACTTGCTGCAACAATGCACAAGCAAGGCAGCCATTCTATAGATACAGTTGTTTGGTGAGGTTGCTTAAGTGTTTCCTTTACTTGGTCTTATGCCCTTCTGGTTACCGTGATGAAGTTATACTGGCATAGTTTAAGTTTGCCCACATCCATGAATACATTTATGGTAATAAAATGTCTGCCATTATATTTGCAGTGACACAGCAAATTACCATGGAATATGCAGGTAAAAACGTCTTTTCTGAAGCAAGGGGGAAACTGAAATACCCCTGGAATTTGCCAACTCTTGTGGTCAACCGATATTTTAAGCAAAGATCTTTTACTGCATTGAAACCTGGAAGAATACCATTGCATATGCAGGAAAAATGTAGAAAACTTGTGTCTTTAAGGGCATAGATGACTTATATGCCACCCATTCCATAACTGTATGTACTATATAAGAAAAATGTATATATAACATATTTGCATTCTAAGTGCAAATGCAGCTTGGATGTGTTGACACAGCCAATGGCTATGGTATCTGCCAAAAAAAATATTGCTTTTATCACAAAATACCCTGTAGATATCAGTGTATGTTCGAAGCTGCCATTTCTACTGTATATAAACTGATACTGCACACTTGTGACAATGCGCTTGCATACTGGTTGAAACCATTCACCCTCTAAAGCACAAACAACCCTGAAACTTTTCATATAGTTTATAGATCAAAGAATTAAGAACAAGAGTGAGTATTGGTCCAAAGGATTGAAAAGGGACCCCTTTCCATATGAATGCAATCTGGGAGCTGCTACTTCCTAGTCCAATGTGTTGTGTCATAGCTGTTTTCTGTCAAGTTTTATAAACAGTCTTACCTCTTTTTAGGTGTTACTCATCCTTTCATAAAAGATTATAAAAGCACAGGCAAGCAATTATGGTAACAGGGTACCTGGATTAGATATGCAGTTGCATAGCAAATTACTGTGAAATATGCAGGAAAAACATATTTTTGGAGAAAGGGTAAGTTGGAGCTGCCCTTACCATGTGCCAACTCTTACGAGCAAAGTCAGTTGCAACCAAAGAGTCTTTATTGCAGTCAATACTGGAAGAATTCCTTTACATATGCAAGGTACATGTGGAAAATGTGTGTACGTATTGCTATGCGCTACTTATGTAGCATCCATATCATAGATGCATACAGTAGTACTACTACAAGGAAAATGCAAGTTCGTTAATGTATATAGGAGGGCTATATATAGAAGGGCTAGGAGTGGGGGGAAGCTCATAATAAGAAAGCTCCCTTTCCTTAGCCACCTCTCCCCTAAGGTATACACACACTATGTTTGTTGTCCCTCCTTCCTTTTCCCAGGGGATCTTCATGACTCTCTGGACATTCTTTGGCAACCTTTGGCAACCTGCCATCAGGGAGAGGCTATGTACATAGGAGGGCTATGAGAGGAAAAGCCCGATTTTTTTTTTCCTTGGCCACCTCTCCCCCTAAGGGAAGCAATATATATATATATACACACACTATGTTTTTTTTTCCTCCTTCCTTTCCCCTAGGAATCTTCATGACTCACTGGACATTCTTTGGCAACCTCTGAGGAAGTCTGACAATCTGTGTGGATCTCTAGCAAAACCATCACAGGTATATGAACATAAAGGATTGAACATGATGTAGCAAAAAACACTGCATTTCCAGAAACGTGGAAAAATGGGGACCTGACAGCGTTCCTTTCTGTATATATATATGTATGCATATATACAAAAATATCGTAAATTTAGATGATCATTCCATTTTGGGAAGATGGGGCCGAGAAAACTGCAAGGATCATTAGGACCTTCTCAAGGTGCATGACTTGAGTCGCCATCCGAAACCATGGCTTTCTTCTTATATGAAAAAGGAATCTTGTATAATGGGAAGATATAATATGATCATCTGCTGTTGCGGTATATTTGTATATCCAATCTTGTTGTATAATATGGCCCCATTATAGACTATTTCCCAACAAGACTATATAACCAGATTTGATATACACATATATAAAACCAACAAGATTGGAAAGCCTATGGGACCATAGCATCAGGCTGCAACTATTTAGATTGAAAATCGCATCCTTACATCATTAAATCATAAAGTAGTTAAGTTGGCATTTTTAAAAAAGAAAATCAAAGAGCTTTTATAAAGAAAACTGAACTTTACAATTTTATGATTTGACGGCTTTACGCTGCCCCTTGGTGGAATCTGAAAAACTAGGTCCGGGAAAGTCTTGTAGCATTGTGGTGCACACATTTCAGAGAGCGAGCGAAAGCTTAGACGCCTCTCGAACCGTGCGATGACGCCGGATGCTAAAGTCTTGGATTTTTGGCCGCACCTTAAGCTCTCCCTTTGCCTGCAGCACTTCCTTCAAAGCCATAGCCACCTCAAAATCGATGGACAACACCATTGTGCGAGGTCCGGCAGACAGAAAGCACGAGGTACCGAACGTTTTTACACCCCCCCACCCCAAAGCACATCACAGCACCCACTCCAAACACCAACGTGACATCATTAATATAAAGAAAAGAGAGGGCCTATGGGAACGACGCCTGGCCGTCTGGCTGGCACGGCCGAACCTTTTCTGCTTTGACATTTCTTTCTGTTGGCATCCTTGTCTGATGCTGCCGCTTTCTCTTGATCTGGCTCGCTCCTGACATCTCTGAATTTTGACAACCCTTCCTGTTGACAGCTCCGGAGCCGGAAACCTGACACACCCTCTCCTGACAAACTTCTTTCCCTACTCTCTTTACTTCCCTACTCTCTTGACTCCACTTTTCTTTTCCCTTCCTCACTCTCGACACTTCCCTACTCTCTTCATTTCCCCAGTCTATGAAAGCCTCTAGTCTTTTCGCTTCTCTATTCTTTTCGCTTCTCTATTCTTTTCACTCTTCATTTCCCCATTCTCTGCACTTCTCGACTCTTTTTGCTCTTCACTTCCCTACTCTCCTCATTCCCCTTTAGTGTTTAAAGAAGCGCCGTGGCAAACATGTGACATCGCTATGTATCCCTGAAAACGGCTTGGACTCCAAGAAAACACGTTTTTTCCCGAATGCGTAGCAAGGGTTCCCGTTTCACTCTGGGGGTCTGGGGGTTGAGGGTGTGTTCGCTCGACGTTGCGTTTGTGGTCGCAACCGTTCGCAACCGTTCGCAACCGTTCGCAACCGTTCGTGTGAGGACCGTATGGCCGTGCCTATGGTAAGTTCTGCAGAGGTGGTCTTTTTTGGAGGTTTCCAACGTTTCGTTGCTTCGTTTCGCGTGGCAGGCGTGGCACTTCGTGACATTCAGACGTGTTCTGTAACGTGTCGAAAGTCGTTTTGTGTGGCAGGCTCAATACTTTTGCGACATTTTCAGAAGATGTGTTGCATTTTTCGTGGCAGGCGCAGCACTTTCGACGTGTCCATCGTCATTTTTCGTGGCAGGCGCAGCACTTTGGACGTGTCGTGTTGCGTGTTTATTGCATATTGCAAATCGCATTGGCAGGGCTGCGTCAAGTGGCGACAAGGTGCAAATTCCGTGGCAAGCGTGGCATTTGGTGCGATGTGCTGAAAATTAACGGAAGCCTCGCACGAAACATTGATTTTGAGGTTGCAAATTTTCAGGTTCTAAGGAAAACTCGTAGGAAAACGTCGATTTTGAAGCTACAAAGTGTGAAAATTGGAGGATGTCTCGCACGAAATGCTCGTTTTGGTGCTCCCATCTGTCTCGTCTCGCGTCATTGGTTTTATGGTGGCTTCGCCGTGTCTATGGGGGAAGCTGCAAAACTTGTCCTTTTGTCATGTTGCCAACTGCGAAAATTGGAGGAAGTCTCGTACAAAATGCTGGTTTTTCTGCATCCACGTGTCTTGTCTCGAGTCGCTGGTTTTCCTGTGGCGTCGCCGCGTCTATGGGGGAAGCTGGAAAACCTCTCCTTTTCGAATGTTTCCACGCAGGTTGTCATGTCGTTTTGCGTGGCAGGCGTGGCGCTTTGTGACATTCCAAGCTGTTTGATAAAGTGTTGAAAATGTCAAAATTGGAGGAAGTTCGCACGAAATGCTCGTCTTTCCGCATCCATGCGTCTCGTCTCGAGTCTCTGGTTTTTCCTGTGGCGTTGTTGTGTCTATGGGGGAAGCCACAAAATCTCTCCTTTTCGAAGGTTTCCAAGCAGGTTGTCATGTCGTTTTGCGTATGCGTAGCAAGGGTTCCCGTTTCACTCTGGGGGTCTGGGGGTTGAGGGTGTGTTCGCTAGGCGTTGCGTTCACGGTCGCAACCGTCCGCAACCGTCCGCAACCGTCCGCAACCGTCCGTGTGAGGACCGTATGGCCGTGCCTATGGTAAGTGCTGCAGGGGTGGTCATTTTTGGAGGTTTCCAACGTTTCGTTGCTTCGTTTCGCGTGGCAGGCGTGGCACTTCGTGAACATTCAGTGTTCTTGTAAAGTGTCGAAAGTCGTTTTGTGTGGCAGGCGCAATACTTTTGCGACGTTTTCAGAAGATGTGTTGCATTTTTCGTGGCAGGCGCAGCACTTTGGACGTGTCCATCGTCATTTTTCGTGGCAGGCGCAGCACTTTAGACGTGTCGTGTTGCGTGTTTATTGCAAATCGCATTGGCAGGGCTGCGTCAAGTGGCGACAAGGTGCAAATTCCGTGGCAAGCGTGGCATTTGGTGCGATGTGCTGAAAATCGACGGAAGCCTCGCAAGAAACATTGATTTTGAGGTTGCAAATTTTCAGGTTCTAAGGAAAACTCGTAGGAAAACGTCGATTTTGAAGCTACAAAATGTGAAAATTGGAGGATGTCTCGCACGAAATGCTCGTTTTGGTGCTCCCACCTGTCTCGTCTCGCGTCATTGGTTTTATGGTGGCTTCGCCGTGTCTATTGGGGAAGCTGCAAAACTTGTCCTTTTGTCATGTTGCCAACTGTGAAAATTGGAGGAAGTCTCGTACAAAATGCTGGTTTTTCTGCATCCACGTGTCTTGTCTCGAGTCGCTGGTTTTCCTGTGGCGTCGCCGCGTCTATGGGGGAAGCTGGAAAACCTCTCCTTTTCGAATGTTTCCACGCAGGTTGTCATGTCGTTTTGCGTGGCAGGCGTGGCGCTTTGTGACATTCCAAGCTGTTTGATAACGTGTTGAAAATGTCAAAATTGGAGGAAGTTCGCACGAAATGCTCGTTTTTCTGCATCCATGCGTCTCGTCTCGAGTCTCTGGTTTTTCCTGTGGCGTTGTTGTGTCTAAGGGGGAAGCTCCGCACTCCACACTTTACACTCCTCACTCCTCACCTGAGACTTTACACTCCACACTTTACACTACACTCTGCACTTTCCACTCCTCACTCCTCACTCTACACTTTGCACTCCACACTCCACACTCTACACTTTACACTCCACACTCCACACTTTACACTACACACTCCTTACTTTACACTCCACACTTTCCACTCCACACTCCACACTCCACACTTTACACTCCACACTCCACACTTTACACTCCTCACTCCACACTTTACACTCGTCACTTTACACTCTACGCTCCACACTCTACACTTTACAATCTAGACTTTACACTCTACACTCCGCACTCCACACTCTACACTTTACACTCTACGCTCCACACTTTACATTTTACACTCCACACTCCACACTCTACACTTTCCACTCCACACTCCACATTCCACACTGAGACACTTTACACTCCACACTCCACACTTTACACTTTACACTCCTCAGTCCACACTCTACACTTTCCACTCCAGACTCCACACTCTACATTTTAACGCTCCACACTCCACACTTTACACTCCACACTCACACTTTACACTCCACACTTTACACTCCTCACTCCACACTTTACACTCCACACTCCTTACTTTACACTCCACACTTCACACTCCACACTTTCCACTCCACTCTCCACACTCCACACTTTACACTCCACACTTTACACTCCTCACTCCACACTTTACACTTCACACTCTATACTTTACACTCCACACTTTACACTCCACATTCCACACTTCACACTCTACAATTTACAAACTCTAAATCCTCACTTTACACTTTACACTTTACATTCCTCACTTTACACTCCACACTCCTCACTCCACACTTTACACTCCACACTCCACACTTTACACTACACTCTACACTTTACACTCCACACTCTACACTCCACACTTTACAGTCCACACTCCACACCCTACACACCACACTCTACACTTTCCACTCCACACTCCACACTCCACACGCTACACTCTACACTCCACACTCTACACTTTACACTCTACACATTACACTCTACACTTCACACTCTACAATCTACAAACTCCACACTTCTCACTCCACACTTTACACTCCTCACTTTACACTCCTCACTCCACACTCTACACTCCACACTTTCCACTCCACACTCTCCACTTTCCACTCCACACTCCGCACTCGACACTCCACACTTTACTGTACACTCCACACTCCACACTTTATACTTTACACTCCTAGCTCCACACTCCACACTTTACACTCCTCACTCCACACTTTACACACTCCACACTCCTTACTTTACACTCCACACTTCAACTCCACACTTTCCACTCCACACTCCACACTCCACACTTTACACTCCACACTCCACACTTTACACTCCACACTTTACACTCCTCACTCCACACTTTACACTCCACACTTCAACTCCACACTTTCGACTCCACACTCCACACTCCACACTTTACACTCCACACTCCACACTTTACACTCCTCACTCTACACTCCTCACTCCACACTTTACACTCCACACTTTACACTCCACACTCTACACTTTACACTCCACACTTTACACTCCACACTCCGCACTCTACACTTTAGACTCTACACTATATACTCTATACTCCACACTTTACACTTTACACTCCACGCTTTCCACTTTACACTCCTCACTCCACACTTTACACTCCACACTTTACACTCCACACTTTACACTCCACACTCTACAGTTTACACTCCACACTCCACACTTTACACTCCACACTCCACACTCCACACCCTACACACCACACTCTACACTTTCCACTCCACACTCCACACGCTACACTCCACACTCTACACTTTACACTCTACACTTTACACTCTACACTTCACACTCTACAATTTACAAACTCCACACTCCTCACTCCACACTTTACACTCCTCACTTTACACTCCACACTCCACACTTTGCACTTTACACTCCTCACTCCACACTCTACACTCTACACTCCACACTCCACACTCTGCACTCCACACTCTACACTTTACACTCCATACTCCACACTCTACACTTTACACTCCGCATTCTACACTTTACACACTCTACACTCCCCACTCCACACTTTACACTCCACACTCCTTACTTCACACTCCACACTCTACACTTTCCTCTCCACACTGCAGACCGGTAGCAAGGGAAAGATGCACAAGACTGTTCAAATAAACTATTGCAGAAAGGTATTGTGCGTGACTGCAAAACCATGTGTTTTGACATCTGTATCATTAACATACGTGTGAGCATTCGGGTTCGTGGGCTTCGAGAATCCTATTCAAATCGATGATTTAGGGGTATCCCTATTTTAGGAATCCCCCATATGTTTTCCTCGAATTTTTCCGACAAGCTCGCATTTTCAGAGATGTTGTTGCAAACATGACCAGGACTCCAGTTGGTCTATCAAGGACCCTCAGATGGGGTGTGAATTGTACAAGTTGGTGCGCCAGTTCGTGAACGCTAAGTTGGTGCAAATATAACTCCAATTTCACTATATTGTTTATGGTAGATATATCGAACTACTTACAGTGGTTTATAAACCAACAAACATCACTGCGGGGGACACCAAATTGTATCATGTTATTATGGTCCGGAAAGGATCTCCATGGCGGCAAGGGGCCCCAGAGTAGCCGCTGTTCACGTTGGAGCACTGTGTGCTGAAGCTGCCATCGTGGGCCAAAGCCTATCACAGGGTTTCACAGAAAAAAATGAGATAAATCCAATGAGAAAGCCACATCAAAACGATTAATAATACATATTTTTAAAAAACATTTTTTTCAACTGTGGCACTAACAATGGTAAATCCAATTATATCCAATGCAGGTTTCAGCCCTTATCGGGGATGGTTTAGTACTGGGTTACCACATTCTCTACTTACATGGTTATATAGTCATGTAGCTATCCACCTTGATTAATGGGAATTTCAGGATCCTAAAATGGAGGTGCTGTACCATATAAGATCATATTTTGTGGGATATTCCCTTACATAAGGCCTATATGGTAGTTCCTGAAATGGCCATTGACTTGATATAATTGTGGTTTTGTGGCTATGGATCCGCTGTGAATACAATCTTTAAGGGGATGCACATTCATTTACAAGCAAATTTTGGTGTGAACAGAAGGGGTACAGGATTTGGAACCACCCCCATAGTGCAATATTTATCCAAGGGTTGCTCTTTGCTTACTCAATCTCATGCTTCGATGGCGAAAAGCAACCTCCAAAAAAATAGAAGAGTTGACAGAGTCAAATCCCACCCCAAGAAGGGGACCCAAAAAAGAATGGATCCAGTAATAAACCATGGTTTTGCTTGTGGGGTGTTTATATTATAAAAGGGGAAGGGGTTACTAAACCAGGATGATATTGGATTTTGATCATCAACAAGGGTTACTGAACCAGCAATAATCGGATCTATGATATGGATTGTCCGAAACAACATATTTGCCCACAATAAACGGCTCATCTGCAGTAAAAAATATGTTGAAAACAGCAGAACCTGTTGGTTGCCTATTCTAAGCATTGGCAACATCCGCACACAACGCAGCGGTGGGCAGCAAACTTCTGCACCGCTGTTTTTTTCGCTTTTTTGGAATTCTCCTGCTGAGCAGGTGCGGCAACTACCCAGATGCGCAAGAACAGTTCTTCATGATCAACGCCTTCGATTCTGAAAAAACAATCCAAGACAGACTGAGAAATGGATGGCACAACATCACAGAAGTTCTCAAATTTGGGTTCTGAAGGATTCTAAAGCTTGGGGGTGATCTGCGATTTGTGCAATTGGATCCAACCAAAATGGCCTGCTGTGCTTCGCATCAGCTACCAAGGCGGCGGCTCCGACTTCTGTTCATGACGAGTGGAGGTCGTTAGCCACCGCGAGTTTTGAATACAATTCCTCAAAGCATCTCCAAGCCATATGCTTCCTGTCTCACTTTGAGATCTCTGAGATTGACTGGAATCCACGGGGTCACCACGATTGTTAGGTGTGTGGAGACTGTGGCTGGTCGCCGAAGCCATGTGCAATTCGAGCGTCATCCTCGCCACCATCTCCTCCAACTTGCGAAGTTGGTTCACCATCATCCTTTGCATCACGATCTTTGGGTCCAGCCTCGTGTTTTGCGGGGGGCCACATGGCGATGCCATAGATGCCACCGATGACACAGGTGGCACTGATGCCTTCTTCGCTGGGGGGAAAGACCTGAGTTCATGCTGCCCATGGGCAAAGTTGCAGGCTTGGCCTTTTCGGCAACGCCCTGTGTTCCCATACTCGTAGCAAAGACCTGTTGCTTGAAGACTTGGCTTTTCACACAGCTCACTCTCCGAGTGTGCAAATGGGCAGCCCATGCCATTGAAGCACTTGCGTGGGCCCAAGTACCTGCAATGAAACAATCACAGAGTCTTACATCTTGCAGTGGAAACTCACGCAACCCATTGAAACAAAATACAACCAAAAATGGCATTTTAATAAGGAACATGATGATGAATCATTCGATTGGGGCGTAGCCTATTTTCAGACAAAGCCAAATAACAAAATACCCAGGCACTAATTTTGTTGCTTTGATATCCAGCATCTTCGTTGGTTAGACCTCTTCAACCCCTATTCTTGTCGGCTAAATCAGTAAAATGTTCAATTCATCATCAGATTTTCCGTAAGAGAAGCAATATCCGTAAGAGAAGCAATATCCCCTGGTACATCCTGGTACTCTGTTGAATATAGACCATCCTCCATTTCGAGAAACATGTCCCAGCATGTCCCGGCTATAGATCTCCCATGTTTGAAAACTCGACCCAGGCACTTACACATCCGCGTGAACTTCAAAGCCTCCCGTGTTTCCTCGGAAGTCATTGGAACTGAAAAGACGCAAACCCCACCGACCAAACCGACCAAGCTCAATGGCTGCGGCAGAGAAAAATCGCACCCCTAAAGTGGAGGCGCCTGCCAGAAGGTCTATTTTTCAGGGATCAATTTTCACAAGAAAATATGGCCTTTGAAAAAGTACAGTAGCTCCATTTTGTCCTGAAATCCCATTGACCAAGGGCTCGGTGTTTTCTGAAATCCGATGACACTCGTGAATGTATGGGTATGGTGTCCCCAGATTCGGTAACTTTTTGGACCCAGTTCTTTTTTTGATCCTGATTCAACCAAGATTTGAGTATGGATGTTGCTTCTGGTTTTGCGAACCATTCATTTTTACTGAATATATAGTTAAATAAACTTCTTAAAACAATGGGTCGTATTCAATATGTTTGATGGTTGATCGTCAGGTTTCTCCTTGAACGAATTCATGAACAGTGTTTGGGGTATCCTCCATGTTTGGACATACCCACATTTAATCCAAAAAATGGCTGGTTACCCTCTATATTTGATGGTTTTCGACATTTTTTTGGAACCCATCAAGACATGGATAGAATTTGTAACCGAGTATAGTGCTTTCCAGGGATCGGGATCGTGGATCAGTTCACCGATGAGCCAATCTATCCCATGAAATCCGTTGTTAAATTCCAGTACATTCGCGATCCATTGCCATTAGAAAAATGATTTACCCCTGCTAACTGTGGTGAACCACCAATTTTTGATTCCGTTAATATCACTTTATATCAAACTATATCTGTTGGATCATGGTTTTGTGGGTATTGCCTGATAAAGTGGACCCCCCCCGTTGCTAGTTCCGTGCTTAAAATCAAATTGAACAACACATATTATGGCTGATATACTCCCATTATATCCATTTGAAACAATCATACCATCCCTAGATTTTCATTGAAAACCCATTATATACTCATTATCAATCACTATTGACCACTATCAAAGACTAGTTACACTATTCTCCCATGAAAACTCACAATTTGGTTCCCATTGAAACGTTTTTTTTCCGATTTCGCCATGGCCGGCGCCTGAGTGGCTGAGATCTGGCCGCTCATGCTGCCTACCGTGGCCTGAGCTGGTGAAAGCCATGGGGGTGGCCGCCATGGCCAAGCTGCCAGCCCCTTGTGACATTCACAGTTTGTGAACTGGAAAATTGCCATTTAGTTCGTTGATTTAGCTATTAAAAATGGTGGTTAAATTGCAAAAAATAAGAGAGATTCTTAGCTGGTGCGTTAGTAGATAATTCCATACCAAAAGATCTTTTGGATTAGTTTCTACCAATCTAAGATTGCCCTACCAATGGGGCTTTGTGACATGCCTTGCGACAATCCAAAACATTTCTCGGACTTGTAGATATTGAAGGCAATGATTCACGATAGGAAATTGATACCATCCTTGGCTTAAAATGTAGACTTATGGTGGATGTGTATCTTTCATGTTGGATGAAATTATAACAAAAAAACCTAACTGGTGGGGGGGGGGCCCTCGGGTGGGGCCACACAACTATAGAGTATGTTCCTGTTGGATTCCTTAGCTATGGTAGAAGACGTTGCACACATATTCTGAACAACAGTTCCAAACTGGAAAGAGGGGCAGGGAAAAACACCCCAATCGGGGATCAAATGTGGGATTCAAAATGCCACAGTATTCCACCAAGTATCAGCCGTTTTGGTGCTATCCTAAATCAAAACAAGAATTGTTTATCCCCAAGTTAAGCAACCATCTTGACATGATAAATTCCCAAATCATCCGACTTGGTTTGCGACTATTGCAACACCAAATATACCCAATGCTACACCACAAACTGGCAATTCCTTCTTACAAGGCCCCCTGTGAGGTATGACCCTGGCCAATTCTGAGATGGTACTGGCATTTGTGTCCAGCTAAGCACATGAAGGGGTAACAAGCAGCGTCCGTGCAAAAAAAATCCAAAGTAGATTTTCAATAACCAAAGTAAAACGCAATTACATACGGACAAAAATCTGTTTGGAATCACAAGGGCACACGCGCATAATCTATCTCTCTCTCAATATATATATAAATATAAATTCAAAAAAAGTAGATCAGTAAGTAAAAAATGGAATGAATATATATATATATATACACACCTATTCATGTTGATTCAATGTACTGGAGCAAACGCGTTGATGTAGGTAGATGAATGCACATAACATGTACAATTCGTAAGTACCAAATGAACATATACAATCATATATATATATAATTCTTTTTGTCTGCGCGCATGCATGTGTGACTGTGCATGAAAAAAATGACCGGACACATTTTAAAACCCCATGTTGTGTGTATACATATCTGCGCACAGAGCCCCGAAAGTGGCTGCAGTTGTCCCATCTAGCGCCCCCGGCTGCAGCCGCAGCGGTGCTTGCATCACAAGAACGCCTTGGCAGAAAAACGCGCAAGGTTGTAGCCACTGTGCGCCGTGACATGGTGAACACACTGGGGAAATATTTCCGAAATTGGATGGGTTTAAAGACCCAGGTGCATGGGGGGAGAATCGGTGCGTAGCTGAAAACAGGCTTGCCAAAGGATGCTAGAAGCACACCGGCAGCATTGCGCGGCATCACCCAAGCTAGTTGCATCTTCAAAAGCGTGTCGTCGCATCTGAGGGGCAACATGAGCGGGTATAGGCTGAAATTCTCCAGTCATGTTCGATGTGCATGGCTTTTTTTTTCGTATGCCATGCGCCCGCCTGACTCGCCGGTGTGGCAAAAAGCAAGACCTGAAACCTGATGCCTGGGTAAAATGATGAGCCGCTACTGTTGACACATGGGGTTATAATCCGACTTAGCACCAGTTAATGGCGCATAAAAGTTCTTGTTCCAGCAAAGAATCCGGTGGCAAGCGCTGGGGGCAATCTATGAGCTAAGGGCCGCGCAAGAAACCTGGACTGAAGGTAAATCGGAGGCAATATCCTAGCATGATGATTACCATGTGACCATACCAATTAGCATCGTTGCTATTTATTAAAGCGCTATGTTCCATAGTGTTCTTCTATCATCACTACCGGGCAAATTACGGATGTTGAGCGGAATGTTCTAGCTACATGACTACATGTTTGGCTAAAATCTACAATATTGCTGTGGCAATCTCTCTAAAATTTGTTGGTAATCGGCATGGTTGGAAAATATCTCTGGTATGAGGCAAGCCCACTGCCACAAACAATCCACCCAAAAAGAACCCAAAAAGGATTTTAATCTTTAGTTCCGACACGTGGATCCAGGGTCCAGATGTTGGATGACTGCATTGGATCAATTTTGATTGAACAAATGGATGACATGCAATGTGATCCCCCTGCTACACTCCTCAGTTCAGAACAAATATGGAGGCGAAAACGTGTGGCTTTGGTTGAGGACCTCATTTTTTGGGTTCAGCGGATGATATACCAGTTCCACATGTGTCATGGTTAGTTGCATGGGATTAAAGGGTTGTGGTCATCCCACCAAAAAGAATTGGACATCTGAATTTTCAGCAAGAGATCCCAAACACTGCTGAGGAGAACATCTGACCAGGACCTCATACCAGGACCTCTAAGAGAATGTCGCGGGAAAGAGGAGTTTGTGGACCTCAGTGCCCTGCTGTTTCCCTGGGTCGTCTTTTGAAGCTGGCCTGGTGCTTTTAGCCTCTATTCTTCCCAGGATCCCCACAAGATCTTCTCACAAGGACCTGTGCAGTACCTTGACCTCGAGTAGAATCTCATAAGACGTGATAGAAGAACCTGCCAGAGAGGATCTTGCAAGATCTTTTTGCAAGGACCTCCTGAGAGCATCCCAGAAGCGCTTTCAGACAAGCACCTTTATGTAGTAATAAATGACATCTTTAAGACCTTCATGCAAGGACCCCTGAGAGGATTTTGCTACAAGATCGTCTTACAAAGCCCGCTGCAAAATCTTGATCGAGATCTTCATAAGACCTCGAAGAGAATCTCACAAGTCGTCACTCACAAGATCGTCGTAGAAGGACCTGCTACATAGAGAAGACCATCCCACAAGAGCTTTCATAGGAGCACATTGAAAGCATGACATCTTCAAGGTCTTCATGCAAGGGCCTCTGAGAAGATTCCATCAGGATCTCCACAGGATCTTCCCACAAGGGCATCTACAAGACCATGCAAGGACCTCTCAGAGGATTTATTTCACCAGGATCTTCACAAGATCTTCTCCCAAGGACCTCTACAAAGACTCTAGTCAAGATCTTCATATAAGGACCTCTTAGAGCGCACTTTGAAACTCCCGCAAGATCGTCATAGAAGGTCTCGCGCAGAATCAAATGCTCTCTTTGCTGCGATCTCTGAAAAATCAGCTAGCATGAGCACTGCACCACAATGAGAGCTGCACAAATAGAGGAGAGGGTTCGGTGAGCGATATCACAGTTCGCACAGGGCCACAGCGAGAGCGATCTGACACGCACAAAGTGACCAGAGGGCTCGGCAAACGATATCAAAATTGGCATAGGGCCGCAACGAGAGCGAAACTCACGAGAGGGTTGCGCGAGCTCATGTGAGAATTTTCTCCAATTTACGCGCGTGCCATGACGAGTGAAAGTTGGAAACGTGAAAAACCATGATGTTTTACCTAGGTTCAGCCACTGTTTCGTCGAGGTCTAGTAGTGCGCCTAGCACGAAAAATGGGCCTAAGGCATCCCAAGTATTGCGCCCGCAACGCAACATGATCATCATGTACCAAATCGTAGTTTCACAAACGGAGAGTTTTAGAGCTTTCAAAGTGTCACAAACCACGAGGGAACACGGACATGCCACAAGGGAACTGGGGAACTTTTGTGCGAGGTGCAGACAAAACCCGGAGGCCAGATCGCGAACTCTGCACGAGCCCGGCTTTACCCTTACAGTATGAACCCCTCATGTAGAAACTCTGTTTGGGAACAAACATAGATTCACAATGGGTACAAAATATGAAGCCCTATTTTCAAATGGGCTGATAACCATCCCGGAACTCATGGGATCCGTGGTTTGGTATCAACATGTCGCTGAAAGTGGGAATAGCGAAATATGAGGTACCCTTTGGTAATCAAACGTGGCTAGCTGGAAAATCCCCGAACCAAATTAGAAGGTTTATTGAGAAAATCATCGAACTAAACGGAAGATTTTCCAGCAAGCCAGGTTTGATTACCGGAAGGGGGTCCTATCATCGAATCAGCATCCCGGAAACACTTTTCTTTCTAGGGACAACTATAACTTATTACGTATCCCAAGTCTGGGTATAGGTCAAAACTTAAGGGTCCTCGAATTTTGAGCTTCGGAATTCAGCATCCGTTTTGGGTTACCAACATTTCGACTGACACCCATTTATGGCAAGAAACTTGCTACCTTTCAAGTACCCACAGCCAAAGTTTACCCAGCAGCACTGTGGATGCAAATCCCTCTCAAAAATGTCTGGCTGGTAGTGGATGTTTCTGAATGCCAAAACATCCAAAGCTGGTTAAAGTGAAAATCAGCAAGAGCCCACCATTTCGAAATAAAATCAAATTCTATTATCATCATAGTTATACAAGCTATTTTAGGGTACCATTCGGGTACCAGGGTGTTGACCCAGCCCATTATATGTGGTAAATCCAAGGTGCAGAACTTGCCTAGTGGCTAAACTTTTGGGAGCCCCTGCTGTGTGATTTGACCCTTCGAAGATAGATGCAAATAAACATGCAAATTTCTTTCTTCTCCCTAATATTGAATGGCTCCGGAAGTGTTCGGGGATTCCTTCCGTTTTGCATTTCCTTCAAAGCTGGATTTCCTGTTCTGTCTGTTTTCCTTGCTACATTGCCGATCTTAGATGGCCTGCATTACATTTTCTTTGCTGGTTAGTTAAAACTACAATTTAAACCAAGAGATTATAGTACTAAAGTACCAATCCAAGGTTTGACCAAGCTGTTTGCAGCATTTTGAAGCTGGAAGCTGCCATTTCAACGGCATTTGCAACATTTTGGGGTTCGAACTGTTCATGTTGCATAGTATTTTGCAATTAGGGTTCACTTAGGGTTGGCTGAGGGTTTATTTGGGATAGGGCTTCTTCAGGGTTGGTACTAGGGTTGGTTTAGG